GGCCGGGCCGGGCAGCGCGGTGGCGGCGGCGCGGGCGGGCGGCGCGCCGGGCCCCATGGCCTCCTGCTCCAGCATCGACATCGAGGACGCCACCCAGCACCTGCGGGACATCCTCAAGCTGGACCGGCCGGGAGGTGAGGAGCGGGGACCGGGGGGCCGCGAGAGGCCGCCGGGCCAGGCCGGGCGGGGCCTTGTTTCGGGCCGGGCCGCGGGAGCCCCTCGGCCGTTGCGCCGTCGCCCCGCCGGTTGTCAGCGGTCGCGCTCGGGGCCCGGCCGGGAGCGCTTCGCCTCGGGGCGCCTGGCAGCGCCTGCCGACCCGCCCGGGGCCAGGAGGTCCCGCTCGGCACGGCCTCGCTCCCCGCAGAGCCCGCGGCGCGGAGCGGCCGGTGAGGAGGGGAGCCCCCGGCCTGGGCTCCGTCCCTGAGGGAAGGGTTGCTGGCGCTGGGCAGAGCGAGAGCAGGCCGGGCCCAGAGCTCGCTGCTGCGGCGGTCTCGGGGCTCCGTTCAGCTGAGAGGTGCTGCTGCTGGGAGATGAACAGCACCGACCTCCGTGGCACGAGTGTGCCCCCTTCCCAGGAGTACTTGGAGTGTTTCCCAGGCGTCTCTCTGGGCTCAGTGCGAGGGGCTGGTAGGCTGCTCTGAGATCAGTGCCAGATTCCCCCTTTGCAGGAACTTTTCACTCTTCTTATTTGTATGTAAAATGGGAGCACAAATATCTCTCCTAAAGCGGTTGTGGGTCTTCTCCCTGTGCTCTGAACTGTTATATTTCCCTGCTCAGAGTTCAGCGGGCTCCCTTCTGCCTGTAAGAGTATCAGCAGCAGGCTGGGAGTCAGCTGGATAGTGTTTCCACTCTCCTGGAGCTTCAGCTCTCTCTCATCTCACTTGTTGAACCTGCCATGGTGTTTCAGTCAAATGTGGTGAGGTAACATTCTGAAGGAGACTGAGACATGAATGCTTTGCAAAAATATCCTAGCCTCTGGGCAGAAGACAGAATTATGCCCCTCTTGTGCTCCTTTCAAGGGAAAGGCAGGACAGGAATAGTGTTAAGTTCAAAATGTCCTGAGACTCAGCAGGAATGTGCTACCTCCAAAGCAACTGCCATGTGTGCTGCCTTTTGCTTGGCCAAAAGGAAGAGAGGCTGGGTGTGGGATTGTTGTGGAGGGCTGTAGAGGCCCACGAGGTGGGGGACTAAACCTACAGGAAGGCAGCTTCATTAGCTCTACTACCCTTAGAGAATCTTCTCATTAATTGGAATAGTTTCTGTGGTTTCTGGAGTGCTAGCACGTTCCTGAATTCTAATTCTAACAAGAAAAATACATTTTTTTGTTTGTAGTGCAGCACTGTACATGAAGACTGGAAGGAGAGCTCAGTGCAGGAATGGGGAACACTCATTTCACAAGCAGTTTCTGAAAGGATATGTTGTGGTTGAGAAATGGTTGGAGTTGTTGCTCAAGTTCTCCTGAAGCAGCTTCTCCTGCTGGTTGAAGTCAAGGAGTTTTTGACAGAGTATGGCTTATTTCTTTCATTCTTCTTTCCTGTTCATTCTCTTTTTACCTTCTCTGTCAACTCCAGTGCACAAGAAGGCATTTGAGAGGAATGGGCAGGAAGTTCACAGAGGGAACCTGTGCTGGTTCTCGGCAGAAATCACTGCCTGAGTAACAGCAAATACACTTGAAAAGATGGACATAATAAGGGGAAGAAGAGTGCACATGTTAGCTGAAAGTCTCCTGTTAAGATGCCAGGGAAGAGGAATAGGGGAGCCTTCAAGTTTTGCAGTACCAGGTGTAGGTAGCTGTGAGCAGTGTTGTGTTCCTCTAGGTCCTGTCCAGGCAGATGACAAGAAACTCTCCCTGCTCTAAAGAGTTTACAACTGTCACAATACTTTTTTAATTCTGGGCTTGGTGATTGTGAAAATGTAATCCACTACCCAGTCTGTCTCTCTTGACACAGTTTCTCCCAGTTTTGGCAGACTTCATCCCATGCTTCAGTAGCTGTTGCCAAAGCATGGACCTGCCTGCTGAGATGTGGGGACAGGCTGTCAGTGCCACAGTGCTGAGGAGGAGCATCCCTGCTGGTGGTGGGCAGGATCCTTCCATCCATGCAGAGATCTCTGCTGCTAAGCAGGTGTTACGTGGGCTCACCCTGCTCGTGCTGTATCAGGGCAGTGTTCTGTTAAGTACAGGCTGGTATCTCCTGGTGCAGCTGATGGTGGGAGCAGGAAGAGTTCAGTGTCTCAGCTCTGACTGCTCCTGCTCTTTGAAAAGGTAATGAATACAAACATCCTTCTTTCCCTTTGAGACCTCGATCTACCAGTCTGGCTTAACCTTTTGGTTAGTTCATGTCCTTACTAAATAGAGCCTCTTCCCTTCTTTTATGCCTCCAGGATTGTGCACAGACAACCCCTGTGCTTGTCTGGTTTCCACTAACACAGACTGAGCTATGCCCATTCCTGAACTTGGGTGTGCTGTTGTTGGGCCCATCAGCCTATGGGGAGTGTTTCCTCCTTCCTTTTTTCCATGGAGCAAACATCACTATTCTGCTGTCTGTAAAAGAGCAGCAGTGCTTACATGAGACTTTACTGTGGCTGCAAAAGGGCAAAGCACATATCATCTTTCTCTGGGAAACTGGATGCTTTTTCTGTGGGGAATATTTTCCTGCCTTTGGTCACAAAGGATCAAGTGCTGTCAGTGGAAGTAGCTGGACAAGCACCCACCATGTGTTGTAGGAATAAGGGGCACATCTTAATCCTGTGACAGCAAGCACAGCACCAGTGGGAGGTGCTGGATCACATTCCCTTGCCTGAATTTCCTTGAGCTGTGTGAGTGGTGCTGCTGCTTTTTCTTCATGCAGTGCAGGTACACTGAGGTGAGTGCCCAAATTGTCCCTGCATCGGGGTCCCCTGTCACTGCACATTTCTGTGTCCATAATGACTCTTCATAAACAGACCAGCTTAAAATACCCTTAAATACCATTAAAAATGAATAATTGTGGTTGTTTTGGGCAGCAGCACTCACCCTGATCTTTTGAAGCCTAGTCAGTAGTAGAAAGGTTGTCTTACTTTGGAAGGATCTGCCTCTTGCCCACAGTTATGTTTGGGTTTGTTACATGTGCCAGTGATGGGGAGCTTCTGGTCCTGGGAGCAGCCATTTTGCAAGAGCTCAGCAGCAGTTGTTACCTGGCAACAGTATACGAAATTTCGGGTTTCAAAACCAGTGAAAATTTCCAGCGAGGATTCGCTGAGACAGGCGGCTTTTCCTTGGTGGGCTGATGTGGGGGTGCAGATGGGGGGGGCATTGTTCTCCAGTGGGGGTTGTCAAATATTTGCCTTGCTGGTGAAGAAGAAGAGTCTCCTTCACCCCCTGTTGTGTCTGTCCCCTCCTAAAGCCTTCAGAAGGCATGGAAGCCACCAAGCAGCTTGTGCTAGGCCAGATGTGCAAAGTCAGGGCATACACACTCTTCAAAGCACAGCTGGGGCTCTGAACAAATGGCTGCTTTACACAAAATTTGAGTGCTATAAACTTCTCTGTGATTGTTCAACCAAGGGAAAAATATGGGAATCCCAAATGCACAGCTGCAGAGTTTCCTAGGAAAATTACTTAAACACCTGGACTTTAAGGTCTCATGGTCAGAAGCTGGTTTTGGAAAGTAACAAATGTATTGTTTCCAGCCAGCCCCAAATGTTGCAGCTGATCTCTGCACTGCTGGACTTCAGAGGTGTCTCTGCAGGCCTGAGGGTTAGAAGTGACTTGTCAAGAGCCTTTTGGTCTGCCACTTGATTCAGTAAACCTGAATTACCAGCTTAGTCGTTCTGATCTAAAGCTATTTGCTCCTTGAACCTGGTTAAGTTCCTTGAAACATATTGTTTGGAGTTTGTCTGATTTGCTTGTGAAGGAAAAAGAACTATTTCACTCAGATGTGTGGAGGTGAGTTTGTCATCACACGGGAGGTCTCTTATACATCCTTTTTGTAGGACACTTCTCCCAACCAATTCAGCATATTCTACCTGACAGACCAATAGAGGCTGACAAAAAGCACCTGGAGCTGGTGCATTTCACCCTGTGCTATTTTTTTTAAATGCATGTTGGGCACAGCTGGTTGTGCTTTTCCTCAGGTTCGGTGAATGAGAACCAGAGACCGTCGAATTCGTATAACGGGGACCTGAATGGGCTGCTGGTGCCTGATCCCCTTGGGAGTGGAGATGGACCGGCTTTGGCCAAGCCAGTGCATCGCAGCATCTCTCTAGGAGCCCTGCAGGAGAAGCAAGTCATGTAAGTTTTGTCAAAGAAATGCTGGGAGTGAATAGAAAACAGCTCAAATTCGGTTCTCTGGAGCGTGGACATGCATGCTGGGTGTCTGACAATGGGTTTTGTGTTCAGTTCAAGTGGCAGTTGTGAGCCAGTGTGAGCTCTTGGTTAGAGCTTCTGTAGCTTTTGTGAGGCTGATGCATGGAGTCTGCCATCCTTGCAGCTCAGGAACTGAAGAATA